TTCTTGTGAATGTGAACCATATCAGGATGGGTCTTTCAAACTCAATCATTTCATTCTCAAATAGCCTTTCATACTCAAATAATTCCTATGTTTCTGCCATCAGAGATGATTCAAGACCTTTGCAAGTTGAATAACTTTTTCCCTTAATGACAATAAAACTGAAAGTTCTCAGTGATATGATCACTGTTCTAGACATAGTCTAGAAAGCTCATCTCGATTTCACTTATCTGCCCACTTCTGGTTTTCAGTTACCTTGTGTGCGGTATTCGGAGCTGTGCTCATTGTGCCAGAAATTGCAGAATTTGTTGCTGATAAAGAACGTCATCAGGACCAGGAGAGATGCACAGTGAATCAGTGTCATCTGCCTCAAAACAGATCCCTAGCAATTAGACACATAAATTTGTACAAGTCTCCTGAGCCTCCCTTTTTAGTCACGGGACAACAAATAAACTCCTTCAGTGACGACTGACTCATTTCACACTAACATAGGAGATAAGAACAGTCAGATGACCCATCCTCTGGAAGTATCACTGCTTCTGTGCTAACAGGGGAGACTAGGTGATTTGTACACCTAGCTTTTTAATATCGAAATGTAGGTGGGAAATGTTTCTTTCCTTGCTGCTGTAGAATCTGTTAGTCCTCAGCTAATTGGACTAAAGATAAAACCTGCCCATCCTTTATGTCCCATGTTGACAGCTCAGTAGCAAACAAAGTCTGGTGTTCACAGTATATCTGGCTATTTCTGTACACATGAAAGTGCACACATGAGCACTCAACAGCTGATTGAACCAATGTGCATGCAAGTTCTAACCAATGAGATGATGCAGGAAAGAAAATGCCTTTCATTATCGGGGAGAGAAATAAGATAGAGATGCATAGATGGATTGATACGATATGATGTAATATGATAGATATGATATGTAGGAATACATTCCTTTTTATATATACATCTATATACATCTGTTTATAAGTTTAAGACTTCCTTCCAGTTTCATACCACCAAAGGGGTGAGTATAATTTCAGTTATGTATCATGAAAGACATAGTGTGATGGGCTGAGTGTTAGCCCAGTGACAGCCTGTTTTGCTGGCTCAGAAGAACTGAAATGGTCCCTGGTGTGGTCATTTAGATGGGATCTGTCTCACCTGACTTAATTGTCTGAAAGTCTGGATGAGCTCCCTCTCTCGTGTGTGGAGAGAAATAGTCCAGAGGACACTGACACCCATTTAATGCTCACCCACCACCAACAGGTGATGGACAGAGACCCAGCTGTCTGAGGTGAAGAGCAGGAGAGTGGTCAGTCTGACCAGAGCCTATGGGGAGATGAAGAAGGGGTCTTCTGTGGAGCAAGAACTACCCAGGAAGCATAGGAATGGGGACTTCTCACCCCTGGTGGGGATATTGGCTTCTCAGCTGGAGGTGGGGAGGGGTGGGAGAACACAGGGAAATGAAACCAAAATAAAAGCATGTTGTTTCAGATGAGTTGTCCAGGGAGATTTTCCTACAGAGGAACTCTGACCCACACCCTTTTTCTTGACAGCATTACCCACTGTATTTGAACACGAGTTTCATAGACAGGAAATACATGTTCTTTGTTAATCAGAGATTAACATGGAAATAATATTGCTTGTCAGTGATTTCCACTCAAAGTGAGTTTAAGAGCAATTTCATTTCTCTTTTTCATTACACAGAGATTTTCTTCAGTGATGAATCTATTGTTTTGTTTTTGTTTTTTTTTATTTCAGTAATGCGCCTATTCTCTTAGAATCATAAAATCATGGAATAGTTAGGGTTGGAACGGAGCTTAACATCATCTAATTCTACTCCCCCTGCCATGGGTAGGGCACTCACACTAAACCATATCACCCAAGGCTTCGTTCAACCTGGTCTTGAGCACTGCCAAGCATGGAGCATTCACAACCTACCTGGGCAGCCCATTTCAGTGCCTCACCACCCTAACAGGAAAGAATTTGCTCCTTATATCCAATCTAAACTTCCCCTTTTTAAATTCTAACTCTTTAGCCTTGTTCTGTCACTATATTCCCTAATGAACAGTCCCTCCCCAGCACCCCTATAGGCCCCCTTCAGATACTGGAAGGCTGCTATGAGGTCTCCACGCAGCCTTCTCTTTTCCAGGCTGAACAGCCCCAACTTCCTCAGCCTGTCTTCATACGGGAGGTGCTCCAGTCCCCTGATCATCCTCGTGGCCCTTCTCTGGACTTGTTCCAACAGTTCCATGTCCTTTTTATGTTGAGGACACCAGAACTGCATGCAATACTCCAGGTGAGGTCACACAAGAGCAAAACAGAGGGGCAGTATAACCTCCTTTGACCTGCTGGTGAAGATCCTTTTGATGCAGCCCAGGATATGGTTGGCTTTCTGGGCTGCGAATGCACACTGAAGCCAGCTCATGTTCATTTTCTCATTGACCAACACCCCCAAGTGCTTCTCCGCAGGGCTGCTCTGAATCTCTTCTCTGCCCAACCTGTGCATGTGCCTGGGATTGCTTCGACCCAGGTGTAAGACCTTGCACTTGTCTTGGTTAAACTTCAAGAGGTTTGCATCAGCTCACCTCATAAGTGCATCAAGGTCCCTCTGGATGGCATTCCTTCCTTCCAGCGCGTCAACTCAAACACACAACTTGGTGTCATCGGCAAACTTGCTCAGGGTGCACTCAATCCCACTGTCCATGTCAGAGACGAAGATGTTAAAGAAGATGTTAAGATGTTAAATAAGACCGGTCCCAACACCGATCCCTGAGGGACACTACTCGTTACTGGTCTCCAGCCGGACATTGAGCCACTGACCACAATTATTTGCGTGCGGCCATCCAGCCAGTTCTTTATCCACCGAGTGGTCCATCCATCAAATTGATGCCTCTTCAATTTAGAGACAAGGATGTCTTGTGGGAACTGCTCTACCCCTGTCCATCAGTTCTGTAGCCCCAACTTAGAAGGTCACCAAATTGGTCAGGCAGGATTTCCCCTTAGTGAAGCCATGCTGGCTGTCACCAAGCACCTTGTTGATTTTCATGTGCCTTAGCATGCCTTCCAGGAGAATCTGCTCCTAGATTTTGCCAGACGCAGAGGTGAGACTGACTCGTCTGTAATTCCCCAACTCATCCATTTTCCCCTTCTTGAAAATGGGGGTTATATTTCCCTTTTTCCAGTCATCGTGAACTTCACCTGACTGCCATGATTTCTCAAATATGATGGCCAGTGTCTTAGCAACTTTGTTCTCCAGCTACTTCAGGACCTGTGGATGGATTCATCAGGTCTCATGGACTTTTGCACTTTCAGGTTTTTAAGATGGTCTCGAGCAAGATTCTCTCCTACAGTGGGACCAAGGTCTTCATTCTCACAGTCCCTACGTCTACCTTCCAAGACTTGGGTGGTGCAGTGAGAGCCTTTGCCAGTGAAGACCAAGGCAAAGAAGTCATTCAGAACCTCAGCCTTCTCCAAATCCTGTGTAGCTTCCTTAAGACGCAGTTGTTATCAGCTTCCATTCTGTACACTCCATGTCCTCTTCTCTTGTTTATCTGTTTCCCTACTGGGGCTTCACTTGGCATGAATTAACATTGCTTTACCACTATTACAAGACTCACGGAAGTGAACTTTAATAACATTCATTAACTTTACTAGCCAAAGAGTAATTCATACTCTTTTCACTTAAGCAGTGTCAGAAAATAACTATAATTTGCACCTATTAAATTCTATAGAATCATAGAATACTTAGGGTTGGAAAGTGCCTCACTTCATAACTACTTCTCTGGTTTACTTCACTTCAGGTTTCCTGAAGCCTGAGTAATGCTATTTAATAATTATGTGTCTAGTTTAGGAAAGGTTTATCAGTTTTAAGAAGACACCATCCACCCAGGCCCGGCCAGCATCAAGCCTGAGTGCACACTCCCATTCACATCTCCCTGTACAATGATATAGAAGTTCCCCTTGACCTCCTCTAGTCATCTTGCCATAACTACCATGTTCAAATGTGCTCCAAGAGAAGACCAGTATCTCTCTACATAAAGTCACAGAAAAAGGTAACATACAGCCTAATGCCATGTCTAGTCGTTGGGACTGAGAAGAATGTGGGAGAATAGTGGAGGCTCTACGAGTCCATTTGCAGAGTTTTCAGCATATCACTAGTACTTTACAGACACCAGATATGATGTACAGACAACATTTGGCAACTGAGTCCTGGGATCAGCTCTTTGGTCTCAAGTGACGCAATCTGCTCTACTTCTCTACCAGAAAACATACACTGTTCTCACTCTGCTTGTAGGGGGTTGGATTCCTGTTGGAGAAGAAGTGGAAAGCATCCTATTTCATTTAAGATTTTATATTCTATTAAATAATATTAATTAAACAATCACTCTGTTAAGCTTTGTTCAGGGTGCCTGTATATTTCACTGATCTTCACACCTTCTATGGATCTTCAACCAGTTTCTAGAAGCATCAGGAAGGAGAATGCAGGTTGCTGCAGAAATCTGTGGTTTGGGGAGAATCTGTGAACATACAAATGTTGTAGATAGTATGGTTTGTCTGGTTGAAATATCAGATTAGGACAAGCGGTGTGTACTCCTCACAATCTGCATGGGTGACTTGGCTACAATTGCAAAAGTTCATTCTAGAAATGGAGGCGGAATGCCTAGGAAGAACTTGGAGTGACGCCCTTTTACAATCGTGACACCTGCCTCCACTGTGCTCAGATACTAGAGTGGCTGCCAGATGTCAATCTAGGCATGAGGGCCAACAGAGTTTAAGCACATACATAACAGCTAGGCATTTGGAATTTGTTGGACAGCGCCAGAACATGACTTCTTTAGTCCTGCATGAATGATTACCTGAAGGTGGAGAGGTAAAAAAATCATTATGTAAACAAAGAGTTCATCCATAGTTTGTTCATTCTTATCTTGAGCTGATTAATAAGTAATCTCATATCTCAGAAGGAATAGGAAGGCACTATTGGCTAATTTCATCCATGTGCTTTGGATTCACAGCATATAAATGAGAACGGATTTACAGGTCCAACATCAGGCTCTTCTGACACTTGACTTCTCTTCCTCAGTTCACCATGGAGCTCCTGGGAATGACCACTATTTTCTTGCTGATCTGCATCTCATGTCTTCTTCTCATCACCACATGGAGAAACATGTCACAAAATGGGAAGCAGCCTCCTGGTCCCATCGCACTCCCCCTTGCTGGAAACATATTCCAGCTGAACCCAAAGAACATGCCTGAAAGCTTGGGAAAGGTAACGGATTGTCTCCTTTCTTATGTTGTCTCCATTGCATATAAAACAAAGTCAAGCCTAGACTGTCTCAATTTAATTCACAAGCTTAATTTGCATTGACCAAATGTCAGAGTCAAACAAAACCAAAAGGTTTCTCAGAAATGCATGCTTCTGAAATCTATGTATTCCAATAATATAATATCTAACTCAATGTAGTGCAAGTCTAAGGCTATGTATTTGCAATAATCATACTGCTGATGGGTCCTGTGCTGACTTCATGGCAGTACTGCAATTTGCAGTGGATTTGCAATCAAGCAGCTGATGTTCTTGCTATATTCACTACATTCCTGCTGAGCCCAACTCCTCTTAATCAGTACAAGGCTTCAGTGACTCTACACTGATTCACTCATCCGATTTCCAAAGATCTGGGGCAAAGGAGATTTTAGGGACAACTACAGTATACTGTTCTTCTTTGTGTTCCTATTTCCCACAGCTTAGTGAGAAGTATGGTCCTGTCTTCACAGTACATTTAGGCCCACAAAAGGTTGTGGTGCTGTATGGCTATGATGTTGTGAAAGAAGCTCTGATTGATCAGGCAGATGACTTCAGTGGAAGAGGAAACCTGCCACTCCTTAAAAGACTCTTCAAAGGCGCAGGTATGTCCCCAGTAATGTTAGCGCACAAAGCTAAGGCTTTCAGTGCTTCAGCAACATTGAGGAGGAACAGCTGAGAGGGCAGTGGAGGAGGGAATGGTAGATTTCATTTACTGCTTTCAGCAATAAAAGACTAAAAGCCCAACTCATTACTTGGACCCTTGAGTAAAGTGGTCCCCCCTGGAGAACTCTCTAAGGTCCCAGGCTGGATTCACTGAGTGCTTTTTCATTTTCAGCGTGCTTCAAATTCTGAATAAAATTATGCTCATCAATTATGATTCTAAGAACTTAGGTTCATTCTCCCATTTATGAAAATATTGATAATATACACACAGCTAAAGTAATCAACAAAAGGGAATTCCAGAGACAACAAAGATGAGATAATATAGGCTGTGCCAATCAGGGCCACATTCAAGATTAGGCCTTGCACTTATTCACTAGGGCAGTTCTGAGTACGTTTTCTGCTGATTTTCAGTGCCTGTGGCTAAGAAATATTCAGTGCCAGTGCTACTTTCTTATTTACATCCTAACATATCTGTTTCCTCATGGACGTCTATTTTTCCTGCATCAGGTATTGTGACCAGCAATGGGGAGACCTGGAAGCAGCTCCGACGATTTGCACTCACCACCCTGAGGGATTTTGGGATGGGGAAGAGGAGCATTGAGGAGCGAATCCAGGAGGAAGCTCATTTTCTGGTGGAGAGGATCAGGAACACACATGGTAGGACTGGGGTTTCTGCTTCCTGGGACACCCTGCGTATCTGCAGCAAGACAAGGAGGGTGTAGTGTTGCTTCAAGAAATCTATGGCTGAATAAGTGGGCGTATGGCTGCAGTTTCTGCTCCCAGCTCCAATAGCCAATGTTACCAGTGCTGGGAGTGGGTCAGTCAAAGACACTGTGACAGTATGGAGGGATAAATATAGGAGACTGGTGTTAGAAAGCATCCTTTAACCTGCTGTGTTTGAGGAACAAGGCTGAAAGTGGCAAAGGGAATGGCTTGGCCCCAAAGCCATTTGGTGGAATTCAGCCATGCATACAAGGCTGGGGACTGCCACCTAACCAAGCAATGTGCACTTCTTTGCCTTGTCTTCTGAATCCCTTGGTGGATCTTGAAGAAATCGGTGGTCAAAGACCTCATTTACACATATTTGGGTCTGGGTCCACTCCATCTGCATAGCTTTGCTATCAGAACTACTTTGATCACAGGCATTCGAATCCCTAGGAGAGAGGTATACTATTGAGGTTACACTAGTAGAGTTTATAAAGAGGGTGCAGTAACCTAAAGAAAAGGCTCAGGCAAAGTCCTTCTGGCTTCATTTGGTTTTGGTGGGAATCTTTAGGCCATTTCTAATAAACTGTAAGTTCAGAAGACAAAGACACAAGACAGACTTGTGTCATCTGAAAAGAAACCAAACACCCCCAGACCAATGTTCTCCTGAGAACAGGTCAAAAGTGATACTTAAACGACTCATACAGGGAAATTAGTTCACTTCAAGCTAAGAAGAAAAAATTGAGTAAGCCCTTCACCATCTTTCCAAAGGACTGGAAAAACTCGGGGTCTCAAGAGGATGCAAAGCTCTCTGTAGTGTCAGAGGAAGGGAAGATGCCTGAAATACTGAAAGCAAGATACCTCGTGTTTTTTTTGTTGTTGTAGAGAAACCCTTCAACCCTGGCAGATTCCTGATCCATGCTGTCTCCAACATCATCTGCTCCATTGTCTTTGGGGATCGGTTTGACTATGAGGACAAGAAATTTTTAACTTTAATTTATTTGCTAGATGAAAACAATGATCTCCAGAGCTCTATACGAACACAGGTGTGTACATTTATACAGAATAAACTTGTTAATAATTAAAATATTTTATTAATGGATACATAATTAAAGATAACTCCAGTTGATTTTTAACTGGAGTGGATTTTCCTAAATTTGGATAAATTTTCTGAAAGCCAAAACGGCAGTTAAATAACCAGTTCCTGTTGTTTCTTCTTGCCCAATGGAACTGCCACTGTATATCCAAAGAAGGATAAAATTGCAGAAGTTGCTCAACTGACATCCATCCTTGACTATAGTGAAGCCATAAAGTAAAATGCATTAAAATCCAGTTGAAAAATAGCTCTTCCAAGACAGTTGAATTGCCTCATTTTCCTAGTTAACAGTTAGGGAACATTTTGTTGTATCCACGTTAATTGGAATGCGCTTTTCCATCATCTTATTTTTACAGCTATACAATTTCTTCCCAACTCTCATGGAGTTTATACCTGGCCCTCACCAAAAAATGATGAAAAATACTGAAGAAGTTGATAAATTTATTTTAGAAATCATAGCACAACACCAGGAAACCTGGGATCCTAGTTGTCCTCGAGATTTCATCGATGCTTTCCTTAACAAAATGGACCAGGTAATGTAACAGCTAGAGTTTTATTGGCTTATAAGATAATCACCACTTGAATCCCACCTTCTTGCCAGTTGTGGCAGGGCACTGGGCTTTTGCATATACAAGGAGAAACTTGCTTTTCTTGTCACATCAACTTCATTCTATCCTCTCCACTCTCCTATCTAGGACATTTAATCACTGAATTACCACCTCTAGCAAAAGTTAGGAAAACTAGAGACCAATGTCATTGATGGAAATTAATGTTCCTTTGATACTAAAAGGTTTATACTAATATTTAGTAAAAGTACCATATGCTGGTGTTCTGAAAAGTGAGGGTCATATCTGTGAAAGGACATGAGAAGTGTTTAAAAACATACATTATGGGTACAGGACTTTCCTTTTTAAACAAACTGCTTACATTTGTCATTCTGAAAGCATTCTGCCAAATTTTCCTCCAGGAGAAAGGGAATGGTAACTCAGAGTTCACCGTTGAGTCCCTGACCAGAACCACACTCGACTTGTTCCTTGCAGGAACAGGGACCACAAGCATCACCCTGAGACATGCACTTCTGATTCTCCAGAAATACCCAGAGATACAAGGTAATAGAAAAGGAAATAAATAAAAACTTTAGCAGGTCATGGGATCAGTTTGGACAATTCCTGTCACTACCACATGTGGCAATGGTTCCCTGACTAAGGAACCCTTCATTTGCAGTGTAGACATGTGTATTACCCTATGTTCTATTCACAGAAAAGAGATACTACCACTAAGTACATTCCTATATTGATGGTGCTCTAAAAGCAAATTTTGCTGTGAACATGGGGAGAGGTTTAGGCAAACAGATGTGGGACCTGACCATCCAATACTCACTTATTTCCTAACAGAGAAAGTTCAGAAGGAGATTGATCATGTGATTGGCCGAGGCCGAAGCCCCTGCATGGCAGATCGGAGCCAGATGCCTTACACAGATGCTGTAATCCATGAAATCCAGAGATTCATTGATTTCCTTCCACTTAATGTCCCACATGCTGTGATCAAAGACACCAAGTTCAGAAACTATTTTATTCCAAAGGTATAAGAGAGGTTTTTGTTATTTACATATAAGCAATATTTCAATTTATTTGGAAAAAAACTTAAAAACTCTAATCAGAATCATCATTAAATTTCACAAAAAAAAACCCACAAACTTTAAAGTTTTTTATTCATTAAATGCTTCTTTTAAACTGGTTAAATTTTGACTACCCTTCCACTAAGCTCTGGGAAATTCTCAATGATTCTTTCCTTTAACATTTCACCAGTGTAACTTTCTTCGCTCTTTGTTAATTCAGGACACAATGATATTTCCTCTGCTGACTCCCGTCCTACATGATAGCAAAGAATTTCCAAATCCGGAAAAATTTGACCCAGGACATTTTCTGAATGCAAATGGTACATTTAAAAAGAGTGACTTCTTTATGCCATTCTCTGCAGGTAAGATCTCTTTTTCTTTCATATCCTACACTATACTCCACTAGAATCATTTCGAAGATTTTAGAGGCTCTGTCACCATGGCCTGTACAGTGATGTCTAGTGATTCGCTAGAGTCACTTCTGGGCAGCTCTGATCACTGTACTTGAGTTTCAGTTGACTTCCCTTTTTTAGCAATCACAGAAACTCCTCCAATGCGCTCTGCAAGAAGAGACGAAGGAAGTGGGACTCATCCACACAACTCTCTCTCCAAGCACAAAATGAGAAACCAAAGCCTTCAAACTGCCTTTGCTCACTGAGCACTCTTTCAATGTTCTTGACGCTTAGCCCCTAGTTTAATTTGTTTACCTGAAATGCTGCATGTCCATTCTGAGATGCCTCATCTTTCATGGAACAATGCTTAAAAATGCCCTACTCTCCCCTCACTTTTTATCATGTTCCACTTGCAGGCAAACGCATCTGTGCAGGAGAAGGTCTGGCCCGGATGGAGCTATTCATATTTCTAACATCCATCCTGCAGAACTTTACTTTGAAACCTGTTGTGGATCACAAGGACATTGACATTACCCCTATAATTGCCACTCTGGCAAATATGCCCCGACCTTATGAGGTCTCTTTTGTTCCACGCTAACCAAGTGAAGACTGCTGGCACATACCACACTGGTGAAAGCTCTGATTAAATGACAGTCATCTCTCAATCTGTTGAGGCTGAAACATTCAGGTCCCTGCTAGATACTTTATAGAGAGAAACAATATCAGACAAGAAAATTGTATGGTGCTTTTGTAATCACCACAGCCAGCTCTAAACAAGAGACAGAGTAGTCATCTACATAGGTAAGAAGACAGCTCCCTGCGCAAGAGGAGACAGCTCTCCTCTGTGCCTAGCTCTCCTAGGTGAGGCTTCTGACAACCTGACAAGTCAGGGTGTGTGGACTAGTGCTCTGAGTGCTGCTGCTGCTGTCCCTATCATTTGATCCTCTTAGCACAGCAGGACCAGACACTTCTACTCCACAGTTTCCACAGACCCTACTTCAGGTATCTCTCTCTTCCGTATTTTCAGTTTGTTCATGACCTGATCGTACTGCAGAGCATAAACCAGTGGGAATTTTTCTGTTAGAAAATTATTATCTTCTGTATTCTTGCCCCAGTACATATTGTCTCCTACAGTGGGGATGGAATTTAACAATGGCTGGGCAGATGGGTCCTCTCCCGTGTGATTATAAGGAAGTTTTGTGAAATTACAATATATATTGCAAAATAAAGATGTAGAATGCTGAAGCGTTGTTTTTCTATGACCCCAGAACACCATTTAATGAAAAACCTGTTTCTACTAAGCTTATAATCCCAAATGTCTTGTACATACCTGTTTTATTTCATTCATTTATATGAAACATATTATGGCTTGAAGACTGAGCCAGCCAATGACCTATAAAACTTCAATTGTCAGTAACAATGTGGGTGTAGGCTGGACTGACCCTACAAGACCTACCGGAACCCCAGCTGTGCTTACAGAGCTCTCCTTTGTGGCAAGAGAGGGCAAATTAAATACCTGGATCCTCTCAGTGCCATTTCCTAGCTGAACAGCAGCTTGCATCTTCATATTGTTTTATGAAATACGCAAAGATCACCATAGCAATCTTACACACAGGCAAAATAAAGAAAAAGAGTTTACATGAGTTGCCAAGTATACAGGTACGAATGTAGGACGGGCATTTCCTACTTAATCACATTCCCTGTGATGTACAATTTATAGTGATCACAGTAAAGACAGAGAACTGAATCTGTGTGATGAGAAATGAGACAGCAACTGTAATACTGGCAATATTACAACTGCCAATGAACTGTTTATGGCATGAACTGTTCATGTGAAACAGGCACTTCTTTCCTTTCAAAGTATTAATATCTAGATATACCATGAGTTGGTAGAATGGCATTGCAAAGGCAAAAGCCACAGATATTATAGAATCAACGAAATGTAAGTGAAAAAACGATATATGAAAACATCATCTGGTTTTTCAACATATGCCAAAGAAGATCAGCTATTGCAAGTCTTCTCACTGGAGAGAAAGAACAAGGCACTCCATACTACATATATATATAATATAATCTATAGAGATTTGTTCATAACCACTCTGGAAACTAGAGGCAGAACTCCGACAAGGGTGTCCATTCTGTGATCTGACAACAAGACCTGAATTTCCTTCCCTTACTGCTAGAGTTTTCTTGTAAAGTAAAAGGTGATGTTGTAGTTGTCCAGACAGATGGATAAAAAATGGATAAGATGCTGATTGTCTTCAGCAGTGGCAGGAGAGAAGAGCTTTACCTGCTGAAGAATTGAATTCTGAGTATCTGAGTATGCCTTTGCCTGGCAAACACTGGGAAGGTTAATTCTCCTATACAGTGACATCATGGGGACACTGGAGAAAGTGTTGCTGCTTCTGCCCAATGTCCCCAGAGACTGGAGATGTACAGTTTTCATTTTTGTGAAGAGATTTCTAACACAGTAATTGTTTTTACTTGAACAGATATGCAATAACTTGCTTTGGAAGGTCAGGGGGGAAAGGGATCTGAAGTGATTATTTTCAGCTGCTTCTCACAGGCCTGTGCTATCACTTGTAAGATCAGAAGCAACAGAGTGTTTGAAGTGTTTGTTCATGTGGGTTTGGTTTGGTTTCTCTTTTTAAGCAGATGTGAATGGAGACGTTTTTGCATGTAGTTTATTTTAATGAGCTTTCCTTAGCCACAGGAGAGGTGCAGCAATGCAATGCAGAGGTATGTGAAGTGTATTTGAGAGACCATAAGAGATGTTCTGACTGCTGACCTGAAGTTATCGTTGGGGTCAGAAGACAATCTAATATAATATGTTGAGTGTCCCTGTACCATCTGTTAGTTTCAGTGTCAAGAGCAGTTTTGAGTGTTGTGGATGATCGGCCATTGCCACCTTATTTTCAGCAACTACCAGCCTTTGCCTCAGGATACAGTAAAGGGAAGGTAGAAGATCTATTTGTTGCTAGTCTCCTGATACTGGAAACACAAGTGGGCAAGATTTTAAGGGTGCTCTAAACTGATGCAGCTGATTTGAAATAATTAACGGCTTTATGAATTTATATGATCCTGAATTATAGACTTTATTAATTATACACTCAGATCTGTCTTTAGCCTTTGCCTTTATAGGTCTTGCTAATGATTTTGCTACTCCATTCCTGGAAAAGGCATGCTTCCCTTACCCAGCATCCATTTACAAGAAGTAATTGTGGTTAGATTCTTTTCCAAAGCACTAGAGGGCAGCAATATTATATTAAAATCTATCCATTTTCAGACTTGGACAATGCCAGCACCAGCAAGATGAGCCTTCATTTCCCCTACTGGGCCCTCTTATCCAACAGAGCTGGTATTCATAGTCAATCACAGTTCTGAGTGCTGGCACCAACACCATGTCACTAAGGTTTCAATTTTCTTTTTGCTTGTTTTAATGAGTCCTCATTTATCTTTGTCTGCATGAAAGCAGACCCCAAACATGCAAAGTCTGCCACTTGATATGGTCTGCTGGCTTGTACTTGGTACTTCTGCCTTTGCATTATGTCACCTCTTGGTTTAAATACATGCTTAGGTGGAAGGGCACAAAGAAGCTCCCTCTGTGCACAAGTTCGTGTTTGAGTCCTTCTTCCCTGAGGCTTTCTCATTGTTCCTGCTGGCCACCTCCTGGCACATTGAGCTCTCCAGCAGCACTGTTAGAGAACAGCTATTACTGATATTGAGCAAGAATGACAGAATTGGGCTGTGCCATCTATTTGGTGACATTAGACACACCTCTTGCCTTGATACACTCAGCACTTTTGGTTTTGCATGGCAGGTTCACTTTTACTTGAGGCCGGATAGCAATACATCCCAAGTTCTAAGGCTCTGGTGGATTTGTTAGCAGACACCAGCATTTGCCATTGCTTTCCTAGACAGATACTGACATAAGAGACATCCGGCTTTGTACAAGGAAGGAAAGAAAAGGAACTGGCAATGGGAGAAACGAGGGAGTATGTGTTACTCTGTCTGTAAGATCCATATTGAAGACATAAGAAAGAGAAGGAGCAGACATCCTGATGGCACTTGCCAGGACCTCACACTGCATGGTAAGTAATGTCACCTTCCTTTCTTGCAGTGGTAGTGAAACATGTACCTCTATCCTAACCACTGAGCTCCCCAGTGATTGTCTGGAAGAGATTTGCCATTATTTTCCTGCTCTTTCCTGACATGAACCCTGCAGGATGAACCACATATTTTCACTCAGCTCCCGAAATGCAAGCTGCTGTTGTGTTCATTTGTAACTGTAAGACAAAAGTGCTGGGGAAGAATGTCACCAGGCAAGACCGATTGGCAGGTTCAGTCAGTGATCCCATTGTAATTAGACAGACACTTTACACAGTACAGGCTGTGCTCTTTCTTTTTAAACCTCCTAGTTTCAGATGGGTTATTAGCTGCTGCTAATGGTGTATTCACTTCCTTGGACTTACCTACTGCTAGATCTCTTTTTAGAAACTAATGTGACATCTAGAATGTTCTTCATCTGCCTGTGGCAGACTAAGATCTCTGCCTGATGTTGTTACATTGACAAGTCAGAGGAGTTGCGTGAGGACTGGAACTAGCGACTGACGTCATAGGCCAGGCGTCTATGTGATGGTTAGGACCAGACCTGTGTCTGACAAGATATTCTCCAAAACTCAGTGACGGATGTATATAGTTGCTCCACAATTTTTATGGAGCACAAGGATGCAATACATAGCCCACATTCACAAAATGCACCACAAAATGTGGCCTTCTTGGAAGCTTGGAACCCATGTTTTGTGTTCCCTAGATTTTCAGAGGTTCTGTGGTGGGGACTCAAAATGCTATAGAAATGATCCACGTGGTGTCGGCTCCTGAGCAGAGCTTTTTATTCATCTACTGGCAGAACAGGGATGTTTCATCTGTCAAAGGGTGTTAAGCATTCAGTACCCACTAAGAACTAGGGGGAGCTGAAATTTGGTAAATTCTCCATATAAGGACTATGGAAAATTCCTATAGAGCCAAAGAGGACCCATGCTGACACAATTCTACTGAAATTAACAACACCCAGTCACCTACAAAACACGAATTAGGTCCTACAGTGGTTGGTCTGTTCTACTGAGTAGTTGAACATCCTAGACAAATATTGGCCCTTTTAATGAGTCTTCAGTTCAGTTGCTCCTGTAATTAGTCCTCTTCTCTACCCAGAAGCTGTGTGGTGTTGTCTGGCACAGAAAAGTTGGATTAATGACATTTGGTACGACAACGCATGGCAAAACGGATGCTCTAGAGGAAGAGTTTGTGGTGGTTTTGTCCACAGTTTGAGAGAGCTGTCTGGAGAGTTTGGAGAGAACAGCCTGTGGGGAGGGAATAGGAAAAGGCTGTGAGAAAGTCAAATGTCCTGGGAAGGGTGAATACCAGCAGAGAGACAGAAACGTGTCAGTAGGATGGAGAAAAGAAAAGTGGTAAGGGTCTCCAGAGCCAGTCTATCTAGGAAGCAAACCGTCGCTGGTCTGCAGTCTCAGAGCATTGCTCCCTGAACAATAGAAGTCACTGTTGTCCAAGGTGTGTGGAGTAAATGGGAGGAGGTAGGGAATAAGATAGCTCTGGAAGTGATCATTCTCTCTAAAATAATTAGCTGGGAACTTTAGAGAAAGCCTTGATAACTCAAATATCAAAGCCTTGATTGCAACATTTACGAATGTGCCAAATCTGATTTTTAACAAGAACAAATGCAAGAATGGCTATACTGAGTCACCCTGACTCTGAAATACCTATCTGTTTTCTTCTCACATTAGAGTGTTTGCAGAACCTGAACTTTGCTAGGGGCTGCTTTGACGGGCATTGTCACTGCTCAGATTGGCATTACGTCAGTGCCTCTTGGATGAAGACATGTCCATTGAAGACAGCGGGTAGGCTCCCTTTCCCACAAAGGTTGGATGAGATGACCTTTCAAGATCCCTTCTGATCTGGCCTGTTCTATGACTGTATGACCTTTTTGTTTAATTCAAAGTATAGAATTTCACTCAGACCCTAACACCTGTTTATACATTGCCCAAATGCATCTGGAGTAGGTGAAGGAATTTGTTATGAACTGTATTACTATGACCTGCGCATCCCATCTGCTCCTGCACCAAAGAACAAGGAGCAGATAGCTGTTGACAGCTTTATAATAATAGCTTTCTTTAATGAGAAGGTTGTGGAAGTCTTGGGTGATTGCTGCTTTTACCATGTGTCATGGT